AAAATATGTTAAATAATCTTGTTTTTCTATAGCTTCTTTAAAATATGCTTCGATAGTTTCAATTTGTTGACGAGTAATTTGATCTTCTGAATTGTTACTATCATTACTTTCATTTATCAGATATTCATTTAAATAATAATGAATAACTTCAGCTACTAATTTTGATATTAAATGGTGATTATTATAAGTTTTATATAAATCAATAGCTTGACGAAATTCACGTCGTTTTCCTAGAAGATCATCTCCTACTACTGACCATTCAATATAATCATAATCAAAATCATTGTTTGAAAATAATTTACGATGTTCTACAAATAACTGTTTTATATCATCTGTATATGCTTCTTCATAAGGTGTTAAATTATGTCGTAAATTTCTAATAGAATGTAGAGCTCCATATTCTAATAAAAGTTGTACCATATGTCGATGTCCATAATAACATGCTACATGTAAACATGTTGAGCCAGTTGAATTTTGAATTTTATTTATAATATTTATATTATCAATATATGGTAGAATATTTTGAACTTTTTCTACTTCATTTTCTTTACATAAATCATACAATAAATCAATGATATTTGAATTATTGTCGTCATTATTTGATGAGAATAATGATAACATTACGGTGAGAAAGAAAAATCGAATTTAAAACAAATACAAATATATTTTTGATATGCTTTGTGCATAAACTATAAAGAAAGAACAAGAACAATAGTTTTAAATTATGAAAGCATTCATATTGGAGATATAATACTTTAATACTTACAAAAAGAAATAAAAAGTACTTATATTTCAATGTATTTTATGGTCTTTATCACACAATTCTTTATAATTGTCGTAAATGATATCGAAACATAGATGTATCGTTTAGTACTATGTTCATTTATATTTCATAGTATGGTCAAACTGTACAGTAAAAAAGTGTGTACTCTTAAAAATAAAAGAAGAACTATACCAAATCTAAAAAAATTCGGAAAATCACAAATAATTTTGAACCATTTGAAGGTTTTACATGAAAAAAGGATATACATTTAGATTCATTTTTTTCTACAATAAAAAAGTTCAAAATCCAGAAAACATCTCTACTAGTTCTTTTCGAGACCCAAACTCTCGCGATGAAGACTTCCATTCTAGAGTATATCTTTTTATACATAGATCTACTCACTAAGTGCCATCTCTGTATTTATTTTTTTTAACTATCTCTCTGTCTACTTAATTAATTACCCATTTAACTACCCTGACGAATTGTCTATCTTTCTATGTATCTATTGAATGAACTGCTTGATCAGCGATTTATCCAACTAGCTATGTGTTCACTCTCGAAATAATATTGCTTACCAGGCATTTTATGCTTCAGCCAAAAATTATAAACAATCTATTCTCAAAATATTTTCCGAACTTTCGTACAAAATACTTTTAGGAAAGATCAATTTATTTTTGTTTCACACTTATGAGTCAGAAGTTCTCAAATTATTCTGAAACTTGAGCTTCTATACCATTTGACGGATTAAGTCATAGGGTTGAGAAGTTAACACTTTTCAGAGATTGAACAATCAGAAAATCGTCTAATAAGATTCTGAGAGTGAAATGCATTAAAATCAAACCACAGATGAAATCATAGTTCAAAATCCTACACTAGTAGCAGGAATCTCAATATTAATCAATCTATTCGATAGACGGATCCGGTCAGTAGAGTTGAATGTGCAAATTCTGATAAGATACTATTATTTTTTGAGTATATTATTCTTTTGTAAAGCGAATCAAGAGTCTTCGAATGACAGATAGAAGGAGCTGCTTTAATGCTATTTCTATAGACAAAACAATCGAAATACTCTGCTAGTGATATGTTTGAACCGAAGTAAAGTAAAAAGAAGTATTTTCATGGATCTATGATGTCTCTTGAAGAAGTAGCTTATTAAGAACTTCGTGCAATTTTTCAAGTTCTATCGCCTAATACTTGGCCCACCTCTATATGTATATATTTTAAAGGTACTCTTTTGTTCAACTCACAAACTGTTTCAAACAAATCAACAAAACTTTTTTGATCGGATTCGACCATTTTTTTTTTGATAAAAAAAATTGAATAGTCTTAAATAGCTTCTTACTGTTTTCGTCTTTTTGTGTTTTTTTGTGGCTTATACCGATTGTGACCAATCATTTTAGAGAAATTTCGTTGGATTACAGATGAAAAGCTTTAAAAAAGACTTTTGTTACTTACATGTAGACTTAATACTTTCTCTTCGTCCAAATTGCTTATTTTCTGTATTTCGACCGAACTCCATTTTCAGTTATGATCTTCACAAGAAAACGGCGTACGACTATATGTAATACACTTGTGCTTTTAAATTACTCTAAACAGTATTTTAATGTAAACAAAGGCGGTTCTATATTTTCCATATACTGCTAGAACAATTCTATATAAAGGACACCGCCAAATTTGGTCATAAATCTGCCCCGCTTTAGACCTTATTTTCAATAGAATAGAAAGATAGAGCATAACATTTTGCATATATCTGCCTATTTATTTTGGTTTTTACTGAATGCAAAAAAATTTTCGTAGATCAAATAGTGTAGAAGGGTCTATAACTTTTGAACATTTCGAATAATAACTATGATGGATGTGTGGATATTGACGTGGGTGTTGACATTTTTGAACAAACCCATACCTACCTACACCCATACCAAAAACTAGTTGTCTAGGAACTATTGTTTTAAGATTTGTATGGTACAAAAAAACTGTAAAGTCAATATTACGGTGACCGTTCATATCGGAGATGATATTTCGTCTCATACTATTGGATGCGGCATAAAGATTGCAACATTTAGTATTTTGCAAATGTCACACCACAGATAAATCATATAATCTTCGGTTTTTTTTAAATGTACCGTGAAAATCTCTACAAAAACCGTATGAAGAAATTCTTATTGCAAAGCAAAAAAAGTCTTCCAAATATTTCTATTATGCTAAATACAGTGGGACATGGCACGATCATGTGGCCCGTTCGTTCTGGATATAGGAGGCACTATCAGAAAACGTCAATAGGAATGTGTTCTTACTGTTTCTGAAGAGCTTTTCACGGCGCATTCCCTAAAAAGCAATCAAGAGTATATGATTTATTTGTACTGTGATATAATGCAAAATGATAAATGTTACAATCTTTATGCCGCACTCGATATAATTGAAACAAGGCTGCCATATTAATGCGACAGAAGAGCAAACGAAAAAGTTTATCTGAATCATAATTTATAATTCTAATAATGCTGTCATGTAACTGCAACAAAAAATAGAAGATATAGTTTATCTGAATTCTAATTTAGAAGTTTAATAAAGCTGTCATATAATTGCGATAGAAAAGCAGATGGTAAAGTTTATCTGAATCATAATTATAACTCAAGGAAGGACTTCACTGTATAGGTAATGGAAAAGCAAAAAATAAAAATAAGCTCGATAAACATAACGTTGGTGTGGACGAAAGTTGCTGACAGTGTTCTTGATGAAAAGCGGATTGAGTTATTGGAGTGTTATTCTAGTACCAAAGTACTCAAATAATGCCTCAAACCATAGGTGTTAAGTCTAGACTACCTATGTCTTTACTCCTTATATCGAGACACATCTTATGAATACACATCTTATACCTGAAACTAGTCTATGGAGACCAGCCGACTTCAAAGTTCTTCGATGACTACTAATTTAATTATTCAATGACTGAAGTGATGTTCATAATGCAAATTATGCACTTCATACGTATGATCACTATAACGAACAGAACATATGAAATAAACCACAATCTGTGTGTTCACTGTATCACTCGAGCGCTGCATCCTATATAATACATTCTGCTCTCATCCTCACTTTGACGATGTGCTCTTTGTATTCTCTTTTGCCACCGTAAACTTTTTCACGACAACTCAATGTTGATAATGAAACTATGTCTGAAGGGCTACATTTAGGTGCATTAATTCGAAATAAAATTCGAGTTAACTCTAGCAAGCTTCGATCTAATTTCAATTTTGGACACTTTGAAATTTCATTCCAATGAGTGTCAATAACTTGCAGTTACAGTTTTGACTACTTCTAGTGCAAGTAAATTCCAATGGATGAAAAAAGTTGGAATTCGCCAGAATATGAAGCGATATGTCCAATGCTGACATCTTTTGGTAATTCTCGCTAATTTTGTAAATCTATTGAATTAATGTGTTAGTCAATTACGACATCCAGTGGAGTACTCTCTGCCCTAATTGAAATTGTAGTGGTACTGTGTTGTAATGAATTTGATCCTCACTCTAAACCACATACTCCATCTGACCACATCCAAATTTTAACTCTCATCCTTCTTAGCCGTTATAGATCTTATATTGCTAATGAATGCATATTACTATGAAGTAAATGTTTCGAATTCATGTGCTTTTAACTACGAGAATTCACCACAGGAATGCACTCCCTATTCTGTGAAACTTACATAGTATGTGGAAGAGGGTGTGA